TTGCGAACCTTGTCGCTCAGCTGGGCGAACCCCGTGCGCTGCCACTGCCGGCGTCGCAGGAGCGCTGTCGCCGACGCTTGCAGCCCCCGGGTTGCCCGCCGCCAGGTCGCCAGGGTGACCGGTCGGGGACCGCGGCCCATCCCATGCTCCAGCGCCCGCGCCTGGGTGATGCCCTTGCCTGGCCAGGTCCTCGAGCGCGGCCTGAAATTTCTGCACTGGGCCCCCGGTAAACCAGGCCTGCCACCTCCACTTGAACCCCGAACTTTATTATCCACAGGGGATTCATATCAGGGGCAAGTGGTCGAGGGGAAAGTTAGGTTAGGGTGGGACCGGCTCAGGGGGGAAGATATTACCGAAAGATCGGCGATAGGCACCCGACAGCGAACCCGCCCGTTCCTGGGCGGCGTGGGCTACCAAGCCCCAATGGCGATGAATGGGCGATTGGGGCTCGATGCGTTCCCCCCCTGAGTTTACCCACCTAACTCTGAGGAAGGTGAATTGAAACATCTGAAGATCGAAATTGGTCAACGGACCCCCCTCAGGGTCCGGTCACATACAAATTGTCCGAGATGCGTCGAACCTTGGCGACGAGAGCCCCACCCGAAGACCAAGTACCGTTTTCGACTTCAAATAACAAGACATGACATAAACATGAACTCTCGGAGGTCCTCGTGGATTTCTTGGATCGGCGATGGACCCCCCTCTCTGGCGCGCGGAGCGCGCCAAGGGCGGCGCCTGAGGCGCCGCCAGGGGGCTCCGGCGCCGATCCGAGAAATCCGTGCGGACCCCGACAATGTTTGAATTGATTACCTTATCATCTGTCCCCCGCGTCTGACGAACGTTGCACCTGGCTATCCCCCCTGCCCAAGGATTCCAATCCCCCCCGGCGCCTGCAACGACGGCTGCAGCGGGGGCGCTCAGCGCCGCCCGAGCCGGGCGCAGCAGCCGGTGCATCCCCAGGACGGGACGCGCCCGGCGGGCGCCGGGCGCGGCGCGGGCCCAACGGTCGCTGGGCCTCCCAAGAGCTTTCGGGATCCCCAGGGGTTGAGCGCCCGAGTTATCTGAGGTAACTCGGGTCCGGGGTAACTCGGGCTTGGATTCCCGAAAAAAGGAACCCGAGTTAGCTCTGACCCTAGTTACCCCTGATGATTCGGGGAACTGGACGCCCGAATTATCCGGGGTAACACGGGTCCGGGGTAAGCCGGGTTCGGATTCCCGAAACACGAACCCGAGTTAGCCCTGACCCGAGTTACCCCTGATGATTCGGGACTCTGACCAGGGGTTGAGCAGGGACCGACCGTCCCGGCATTCCTATAGTCCTACCACCAAATGTTCTCATCTTCGAACCCCAGAATGTTCGAAAAACGAAACAATGTTTTTATAACATTAACCTGATGTGTTAAAACAAGACAGTCCAAGCTACCAAAGGTTCTTAGAACATTTCCTGGAAACCATGAAATGTTCTAAGAACATTTCGTGGAAACCACCAAAGGTTCCTGGAACATTGCTCGGTAGGGCTATAGGCGAGCCAAGACGCTTCGCCACTGATGGGACCGCCGACGGGTCGCCGGCGGGACGCCGGGCGGTCGCTGGAGGGCGCAGCTGCCGGCCGCCGCCGACCCGCCGAGAGGCCGGCGAGGGCCCCCCAACAGGCCGCCGAGGGGCCAAGGGTCGAGAGGCCGCCGAGGGCCCCCGGCCAGGGAGCCGAGGGGTCGCCGAGGGGCCGAGAGGCCGCCGAGAGGCCGCCGAGAAGCCGCCGAGGTCCTCCCGACGGGCCGCCGAGGGGCCACCGACAGGCCGCCGAGCGGTGGCGAGGGCCCAAGGGGCCGTGGCAGGCGGCTGCGAAGCCCGAGCCGCGGCCACCTTGCGCCGACCCCGAATGGAGGGGGGCAGCTCACAGGAGTAGGCCTCGAAGCAGGAAGCGCGCTCATCTCCAGTCGACTGCCTTCCCCTGGTCTAGTCTGGCCAAGGCTCTGCCTGGCCGCTCCCAGGATCCGCGCATGCACATAGAAGGCTCAGCGACCACTGCGTTTACCTCGCCCTGGGAGGGCCACGGCGTCGGGCTCGGGAGGGGCATCGCTGCAGGGGGCGAGAGCGCGGTAAGTAGCAAGCTTTTGAAAAGAGTGCGGCCACGCCAAGAATCCTTGGAGGTCTTTGCAAGAACGATTAACGGATATTGGGAGTAACTGAGAGGGCTCTGAACCAGACTAGGCCAGACTGAGCACAATATTAAGCTGGATTGGTGATTCAGTGGAATTGTGTGAGAATGTGCTGGATTAGGCAGACTTTCGACCACGGATGTGCCAACTCCGATGCTGAACTCCATCTCCCAAGGATTACACTCTAAGCAACCGCTCCACACCCTCCAGGAGAGCCACCTCCGGCGATCTTCGATCTTAAAGCCTGCCCTTTCAGCGGTGCTGGCGATAACTGTATCCGCGGTGCTCCGCCGAACCCCACTCGGCCAGCAGCGCTCCCCAGGTCTGCTAGCCTCGCGCATCTCGCCTCGCGATGCGCGGAAATCTTCGCCCCCTCGCGCCGCCCCTGAAAGATGCCAGCTCTCCAGCTCAGACCGCGACGCACGAAGCGCGATCATCTTCACGTTCCCGCAGTCGAGCCGAGAAGCAACAAATGCACGGCCAGCGCAGCTGCGGCTGGGCTGCGAAGGGATTAAGTTGGGCCTGTCCCCCTACAGGGGGACGTTGGGCAACACATTACACATGCGCACAAAAAAAACTCCCAAAATGCTCAAGCACAGTCAAACAATAGCTTCCGGAGTATTTTTTGTGACTACTTTTGAACACTCCTCCTGTAGAGGGACAGACCCGACGGAATGATGGCAGAATCCGCCAACCCCCTGCGGGAGGGCTCCGCCTCCAAGTCCTCCTCCTCGCTCCGTCCCCGACCCAACTGGACCTCGACAGTGCGGTCCTCTCTCCTTGCTGCCTGTCTTCTGCGGGGGGGAGGGGCATCACATCTGCTCTCACCTCGGGCGATCCCAACCAAAGAGCTGCTGCGAGTGGTTTCGAAAGCTGCCGCGTGTGATTTTTCAGTGTGATATGTTACATGGTCTCGTGTGTACAATATGTACGAGCGATCTGTTGACATGCTTGGTGTGTACGCAGGTTGCTTAGTGCGTGTGATGCTAGGTGATATGCGGATCGTGTATTTTGCTGGTGCACGGTGCTGGTAGGTGTTAGCGTAGCATGTTATTAAAAGATGGTTCGTAGTGCCAGGAATGTATGTCTGGGTTTAGCCCCACCTATTGATGCGCATTCCTGCTGCCATTCGTGTGCGTGCGTGTTCTTCTCACAACTGAGAATGCTACATTTACGTGTACATGTACGTATGGCATGGATGCGTGTTTAGAATGAACGCCTCTCGTATGCTTGAATGGCATATGTAGTGTCTACATGATTATAGGTGGTTGCGCGTGGTGCATGCTCATGGAAAAGGAAATAACGGCATGCGACTGACGCGCAATTGTGTGAGTGGACTTGGCGCACTATCTGGGGCAAGGTACTGGCACACAGTATTGCAGTACGTGGCCAATGTATAATAGTGGTGGGTGTCTTTGATGTTAGTGACGGGTGCAACGCTGCATGTCCAAGAATGTATCTTAGCGTATACGGTGGATGTGCGTTATTGCTGTAGACGCATGAACGGAAATGGTGCATTCCATTGCAATGTTCTGCGTGCCTGCTACTGCTGTATTTTTCTAATGTCTGATCCTGGTGTAAATTACCGATGTTGGTGGACGGCATGACACCGTGAAACCGTGACATCCGTCATGCTGTGTTTGATGCAGGTTCGTCATAAGTAAACTGCTGATGCATGTTGTGGGTATGAGCTGTTGGTGTCCCATCTGAACGAATGTTGACGTTATGACGCTATTTGTTCTGTGTCAACCTGCCATGTCTTGTATTGAGACTGCTCTTGACGTCTCCACATGGTGTATGCAGCTGTTGCCGCTGGTTGCTGCGTGATTGAAAAAAGAAATGTGTGTTCTGGATGTCTGTGGTGGCGTGACGCAGTGGCGATCTTCATGTTGTTTTTTTCGGATTGTGGTATGACTGTATGTCATAGCTGTCAGATGTCTGGATAGCTCGCGGGACCACTCGTCAAAACAAAACTTGCCGCGATGCACTACCAGATGATCGGTTTTGCGAACCAATCGTTGACAGCGTGGCCCTTCGGAGAACGATCCAGATACCCTCCCAAACTACGAATGTGACCACAGTTGAACTGCAGGCCGAGGCTAACTCGACGACATGACGCTTCATTTAGATCAGCGCTGTATGATGGCATGCTATGCTATGCAACGCTGAGATACATTGGAGCGCAATTCAACGCAATGGTGCGTCATGCCATGGTATTCGACGCTCGGCTGCGCCATGAGGCCCACTGTACCGCTATGCCGTGCTATGAGACGCTATATTGCATGTCCAAGCCCACCCGTTACGACATAGAGATCAAAGTAAGGGGGGCGTGGATAGAGGGGGGGGTGAGCGGAAGGAGAGCCAGGGAGGGAGCAAGACGCAGGCAGAGTAGAAGGAGACGAACGTGAGTAGGAACCATAGTGAGCAAACGAGCGAGCATCATAGGGCAACAAGAACGAGGAGTTAGGAGAAGAGGAAGGGCAGGAAGAGGACGCAGGAAGGGGGGATGAAGGTGGCTCCAGTGGAGGAGGGATGGAGCAAGAGCAGGAGGACATGGGGCGACGATGTGGAGCTATCGTCCGCAACCGAGCGGCTGGCGATCCCCGAGCCGCTCGAGCGCCTCCCCGCGGAACTCCGCAGGAGGCTCGCAGGCCCCTCCGATTCTCCAGGTGGGAATGAAGGGAGCAGAGGCGCCCTGTCGCGCACTCGGGCGCGAACGCGCCGAAGCAAGGAGAAGAAAAGGTTGTTGGTGGTGGTGCTGTTGCTGCTGCTGGTGAGGTGGAACTGATGTGCGCGTGTTGTTTATGCTGCTGCTGCTGGGATGAGGGTGGGGCAAGCGGC